CTCAGCTCAGGTGAGGGTTCACCTCCACTCTGGCTAACCATGCCCTCGAGCCCAACTATCACTCCATCTTATTCTCTTCATAGCACTCGTCACCACTGGAATTTAACTGGTGGATTTAGTGGCAGTGCCCTGGAATCAGGTAACTTGCCGGTTTTGTTCATTCCTGATTCCATAGCGCCTGGGAAAGCGCCTAGCACGGAGTAGGTACTCAAGGAATAACTCCTGGCAGAATACAGGAATGAAACTCAGGGTGGGGATTACTTTGAGGGAATGTATTTATTATGATGATATATATGGGATGTTTGAAAGAACTTTGTGTTGGTGGGTTTATTTTTTTTTATTGTATTTTATTCCACATTCAATGAAATTCACCCTTTCAACATATAGTTCTATGAGGTATGTTTTTGTTTTGTTTTGTTTTTAATCCTTACCCGAGGATATTTTTCCATTCATTTTTAGAGAGAGTGGAAGAGAGAGGGGAAGTCAGAGAGAAATATCGATTGGTTGCCTCTTGCATGCACCCCGACCAGGGCCCAGCCTGGAGAGGAGCCTGCAACCAAGGTACGTGCCCTTGACCGGAATTGAAGCCGGGACCCTTTGGTCTGCAGGTCAACGCTCTATCTACTGAGCCAAACCGGCTAGGGCTGTTCTATGAGTTTTGACAAATGTGTACAGTCCTGTAACACCACCACAGTCGTGATACAGACGTTGCAAACTCCAAAAAGTTCTTATCACCCTTTGTGGTCAGTCCTTGCCCCCAGGCCTGAGCCCCTGGCAACCACGGATTCTGACTTTTCCAGAAAGTCATATAAATAAGCCAGACAGCGTGTAGCCTCTGAGTATGCAGGCTTTGTTCACTCGGCAAAATACATCGGAGAGTCACTCAGGTCCCTGCGAGGCTTCCTTTACGTTGCTGAGCAGGGCCCATTGGATGGATGGACCCAAGTTGTTCATCTGTTCGCCGGTTGAAGTCTTCTTTATTTAAATACTGAGGAGGAAAAGGTGTGAGAAGGTTTCCTTGGCTCCCAACACTCAACCACAGACACTCATCCGTTCTCTTTCCGAAATCTGGTTCTTCTTCCCCAGCCCCAGCCCCTGCCTGTCAAGGCTCCTTCCCTTTCTTCCAAGGCCCTTTTCAAGTGCCCTCTCCTCAGTGAGGAGCAGGTTTCCTGTCCCCATGTCCCAGGGTGGTGAGTGAGCTCAGAGCAGCAGAAGAGGCCCACCGCTGGAGGGAGCAGAGCCAGAGCTCAAACCCAGGGCCAGCGGGGAAGCGGGTAGCCCAAGGGCCTAAGATCAGCCTCTTTGCAGGCTGGAGGGATGCTGGGAGTCCAGGTCCTCTTTCCCCATCTTAGCCCTAAAAATGTGCCAGCATGAGGGTGAGAGAGCAGGGGTAGGTCTAATGGTGGGGTGGGAGGAAGCTGTGGCCGATCCCATCACCTGCGGATACCTTCATTGGGATCCCTCCCCCACCCTTTCAGCCGGCTCCTGAGCCCTGGTATAAACCCAACCCCCACCACCCAGGCTGACATCAGTCACCAGACTCTCACCTTGGCCATACTGGGCCCATCTGGACTGCATTACCCATCCCAGAACTCGCAATGGTGGGTGGGTGGGTGTGGCAAATGAGATAATGAGCCCCAGCTGTGGGTAGGCTTTGTCCCACTCAGCCACTTGCAGCCAAAGGACCAGTGAGAGACCAATGAGGGAGTTCCTGTCATTCAAGATGACCCTCAGCTACCCTGAGGTCCTACCCAGCTCTGTAGCCCGGAGGAAGCCCCTGAGCAAGGAGTCTTGGAACCTAGCCCACCAAGTAGTGACCTTGGGCCAGTCTTCTGGGCCTCGGTTTGTCCATCTGCAGCGAGAGGCTTGGGGGATGCCTGCAGAGGCCTTAGGGCAGGAATGAACTTGCTGCTTGAGAGTGTAGGGCAGAAGCTCAGGGCCTAGGAGTCCTGGGGGTGGGGGTGGGGTGGTGCACAGGATTCAACAGAATAGGTTATATTTTTTCTTGAGTGTGGAAAATACATAGCTTTTATTGTATTATTCTTTATGCTTTCTTTGTATGTGTGAAGTACACCATAATAATGTTTTAAATTTTTTAAGATGAGGATAAGAATGGAGGTGAGAAAATGGAGACAATTTGTTCAAGAAGTTATATTATTGAGGGGACCAGAGAAATTGGAGGCATAGTTGAAGGGATCTGGGGGGTCCAAGATTTTTTTTCTTTACTTTTAATTTTTATTGATTTTTAGAGAGAAACAAAGGGAGAGAGAGAGAAAGAGAGAAACGTTGATCTGATCAGCTGCCTCCTGCACACCCCCTGCCAGGATGGAGAGCCCACAACCAGGGTAAGGGCCCAGGGAATCAAACCGGTGACCTTTCGGTGCACAGGGCAACGCCCAACCAACTGAGCCACACCAGCCAGGCTTTTCTTCACTTTTCACATGGGAGCTGTTGAAGTGTGTGTGCTGCAGGGGACCGTGGGCTGGGGGCTGAGGATGCAGGGAAAGAAGGGGGCGCCGAGGGGACAGAGGCTTGAGGAGCTCAGAAGTGCTTGTCTCCCTGGTGCTCAGCCCACTTGGTGACCTCTGCACTCAGGGTCCTCCCACTTGAGTGTCAGACCCACCCGGAGGGCTGGTGTCACCCCAGAGTTTCTGGTTCGGTGGGTGTGGGGTGAGACCTAGAAATGTACATTTCTAACCAGCTCCCTGGGGATGCTGTTTCAAGGACCACACTTTGAGAACCACTGTTTTAATCAATACCAGTGCGCCCAGAGGCACCCTCTTCTGGATTTGACCTTGCACTACAATAGAAGATGCTCCTTCCAAAGCACTCTGGGGAGGGGATGGGAGCAGGCAATTGAGATGGCAGAGGGGAGAAGAGACGAAGGAGGAAGCAGCCAGAGCCTGGGCCCCCAGCCAAGGTTACCACCTCTCTCTGGGGAGAACCAGTCTTCCCGGGCGCCCTGGGAGCTGCCCTGTGGGACCTCCAGGAAGACTGAGGGAGAGCATGAGGAAAGAAGCTGGGAGTGTGTGTGTGGAGGGGGCGGGGGGAGTGGCAAGAGGCCAGCATGTGTGCAGAATGGAGAGGGAGTGCAGGAGGGGCACTGGGCCCTGGGACACACCGTTCACCTTTGCAACTTGATCCTGGTGTCTCTGCCAGCCCAGCTCCTCCTGCTCTTGGGGGAAAGGCAGTCCTGTCAGGAAATGAACATCACCTTGGGGGATCCCAGAACTTTCAAGCTGGGAGAACCCTTGGAGACAGGCCAGCTCAGCCCTGTGTGGCAGATGGAGAGGGCCTGGAAAATAAAAGTCCAGTTTGGCAGATGGACCTGCAAACTCTTATACGAGGAGAGATGTGTCCCACTCTCTGCTGCTGGCCCCCCCAGGAAGCTGGGTAATGGGCATGACTGTGGGGGCTACGCTCTGACCCTGGCTGCTCCCCCTTTTCTATCAATTCATTGCGCACCCAGCATGCGATAAGCATTCTGCTAGACATGGAGAGAAAGCGGTGAGAAGGACCAAATTTCTGGCTTCGTGGAATTGACATTCCAAGGGTAAAGCAGGCCATAGACAGAAAAATGTACTATAAAGTCAGGGATTGATAAGTGGTAAGAAGAGACCTGAAATGACATGAGGGAGTGAGCCATGTGATGAGGATGGTGGGTAGAGGCTTTTCCACGCAGAGGGAACAGCATGTGCAAAGGCCCTGAGGTAGGCACATGCTTGCTGTGTTGGAGGGATGTCACAGAGGCCAGTGCCTCTGGAGCGAGGGAGGAAGAGAGGACTAAAGAGAAAATCAGAGTGGCTGCGGGAGGCCAGGTCATGCAGCAAGCTGCAGGCAGAGCAGACTTTGGCTTTCCCTGTGAGTAAGGAAGGAACCCTGGGAGAGGTTTGAGCGGAGGGAGCATGTGATCTAACTTGGTTTAACAGGATCCCTCTGGCTGCTGAGTGGAGGATGGACTAGGCAGAGAGGGACAAGAGTGGAGGCCGAGAAGCCAGGGAGAGAGCTGCTGGAATAGTGCAGGCGGGAGGTAATGGTGGCCTGGCATGCAGGGAGGTCTCTCCTGGTTGTTCTATGCCCTTCGTGGAGACATATGAAGGGGCAGGAGCCTTCCCCCCGCCCCTGCCCATGACCCTGCCCACGGTCTCCCCACAGCTGGAAAGGTACATCCAGATGAACTTGAGGTCGCAGCTGGCACAGGCAGGGCAGCACGTGGTCCAGAACCAGACGGCCGCCGTGCTGGAGCTGGGCACCAGCCTCTTGAACCAGACCACCGCCCAGGCCCACCGGCTGACTGACATGGAGGCTCAGGTACCAGGGGGTGAGTGGGTGGCATCGGGGGGGCCTGCGCCGGCCAGGCTGGCTCACAGCCCAGGTCATCTTGCCTTGACCTCTGTTCCTGGGTCATGTCAGGGCCTCCTCTGGGCCTGCATCCTCCTGGGGCCCCGCCTGATGACCCTGTCGCAAAATTGCCTCCCACTAGGCCACGAGTCCTAGGGGGGACACTGGCTCTGGCTCCTGGGCCTCTGTGACCCCAATGCTCAGGTCTGTGCCGGGCACTGGGCTGAAGGGGGACAGCACACTCCCCTGCCCTCAGGGTGCTCACAGTGCTCCAGGGGAGATGGGAAATAAACAATTCATTAGACCTCAGGGGGCCACTGACTGAGAGAGGAGACAGCCGTATAAATGTTAGGGTGAGTACGGAAATGGATGAAAAGGCAACTGACAAATGGGCACGCATTTGTTGAAGCCCTACTATGTGCCAGGCATGGCTGGGGGGGCCTGGTACTAGTTTATAGCACTAAATAAAACAGGTATGCGTTCCTACCCTCATGGAGCTTACTTTCTAAGGAGGTTCAAGAACATAAGCAGGATAAACAACATATGTGTGAGGTGGTGATAGTGCTAAGGAGACAATAGCATGGGTGAGAGCGATGGGAGTGTGTGGTGGCACCTTCCCCCCGCCCCTGCCCATGACCCTGCCCACGGTCTCCCCACAGCTGGAAAGGTACATCCAGACAAACTTGAGGTTGCAGCTGGCGCAGGCACGGCAGCACATGGTCCAGAACCAGACGGCCGCCGTGCTGGAGCTGGGCACCAGCCTCTTGAACCAGACCACCGCCCAGGCCCACCGGCTGACTGACATGGAGGCTCAGGTACCAGGGGGTGAGCGGGTGGCATCGGGGGGGCCTGCGCTGGCCAGGCTGGCTCACAGCCCAGGTCATCTTGCCTTGACCTCTGTTCCTGGGTCATGTCAGGGCCTCCTCTGGGCCTGAAGCCTCCTGGGGCCCCGCCTGATGACCCTGTCACAAAATTGTCTCCCACCAGGCCACGAGTCCGAAGGGGGACACTGGCTCTGACTCCTGGGCATCTGTGACCCCAATGCTCAGGTCTGTGCCAGGCACTGGGCTGAAGGGGGACAGCACACTCCCCTGCCCTCAGGGTGCTCACAGTGCTCCAGGGGAGATGGGAAATAAACAATTCATTAGACCTCAGGGGGCCACTGACTGAGAGAGGAGACAGCCGTATAAATGGGAGGGTGAGTATGTGAATGGATAAAAAGGCAACTGACAAATGGGCATGCGTTTGTTGAAGCCCTACTATGTGCCAGGCATGGCTAGAGGGGCCCGGTACTAGTTTATAGCACTAAATAAAACAGGTATGCATTCCTACCCTCATGGAGCTTCCTTTCTAAGGAGGTTCAAGAACATAAGCAGGATAAACAACATTATGTGTGAGGTGGTGATAGTGCTAAGGAGACAATAGCATGGGTGAGAGCGATGGGAGTGTGTGGTGGCAGAGGCGGGAGGGGGGAGTTGCAGGTTTAGACCGTGAGGCCAGGAAAGCACCACTGAGCAGGTAGGATTGGAGCCTTTACTAGGAATGCAGTCCAGACAGGGAAAACAGCATGTGCAAAGACCCAGAGAGGGGACCAGGCTGACAAGCTCCAGGAACATCAAGAAGGCTAGTGTGGCTGGAGTGGCGAGGGAGTAAGTGGTGGGCCAGGGGTCAGAGAGGTGATGGGGCAGATGGCATCACAGGCCCCCTCCAGAGGGTGAGAGCTGGGCTTTCTCACTCAGGATGTGGGAGCCACAGGAAGACTTTGAGCAGAGAATGGACTGTAGGGGACAAGGACAGGAACAGGGAGCCCAGTGAATAAGCTGGCACAGGACACAGGGTGAGAGATGACGAAGACCAGGCCAGAGTGGGGTCCATGGACAGGGAGGGGAGTGGTCAGTAGCCATGTGGAAGATGGAGCTGATGGGACTCGCTGATGGATGAGATGTGGGGGTCAAGCCTGAGCAGGGGGAATGGAGCTGCCGTGTGCAGTGATGGGAAGAGCAAATTTAGAATGAAGATCATAAGCTCAGTTAGGGCCTGTGAGTGAGTGAATGAGTGAATGAATGAATGAACAACCATGGGAACTAACTACGAGGAGGATGAAAACAGATCAGCAAGTTTCTGGGATGGCAGAGCCCGTGGGCAGGTGGGCAGTTGCTGGGAAGGCCTCCTGCAGGGCTTACGTAGCCCCCGCCCCCTCCTGCTCGCCGAGGCAGGTACTGAACCAGACATCAAGAATGGAGATCCAGATGCAGGAGACCTCACTGTCCACCAACAAGCTGGAGAAGCAGCTGTTTCTACAGGGCCTTGAGCTCCACCGGCTACAGGACTACAACAGGTGGGCGCTGCCCCCGGGGCCAGGAGAGGGGCTGGGCCCCAAGCTGAGGGCCAGGGCTGGGCTGGAGCCAGGGCCAGGGCTGGAAGCTGGATGTGGGCTAGTGCCTGGGACAGGGGCTGGGACAGAGCTAGAGGCCTAGATTAGGACTGAAATGAGGCATCATTTGGGGGCCAGGGCTGGAGCTAAGCTGGGGCTAGGCCAGGGCAGTGATAAGGACTAAAATTAGGGTTGGAAACCAGACTGACCTTGGAGGGAAGGTGGACACTGGGGCTGGACTGAGGCTGGAGCTGGGGGCCAGGCAGGTACAGGGCCTGGGTGGGGACAGGCATTTTCCTGGAGCTCAGGGCACCCTGACTCTTTCTTTCTCCCTCCTTCCTTCCTTCCTTCCTTCTTTGCTTCCTCCCTTTCTTCCTTTATCCATTTATATATTTTGTAAATTTTTAACAGCTTTATCGAGCTACAATTTATGTACCATACAACTTACCCTGTAAATCTTCATTTGATTTATTTATTTGTAAAAATAATAAATCTGATCTCATTCACCAATTTCCCTTCCCAGAAGCAAGCACAGTTAGTTACCAATTTCCTGTCTGCACGGTAGAGAGTCTCTGCATTTATCAGCAAATACGTATGAGGGAACACCCTTCAAATTACAAAGAAAAAAGAGTCATGGGGTATAGCTGAGGCAGACATCCAAGGCTGATTTCATCTCAGTTTCGAGCTGAGTAGAGAAAAAACTGCCAGGGTCAGGGTGCTGGAGGCGGCAAAACGCACACAGAGGCCGCCACAGGCCTGTGTACACGTGAGGTGTTATTGTTGCTCATGTGATGGGTCAAGATAAGGCCTCGAGGACCGCCCAGCCCCCTCTGGTCTGGGTGCAGTTAATGATAGTTTGTCACCTTCTTATTCTTACCCTCCCACCCCCAGGTGGGGCAGGGCAAAGACTGGGATGCTTCCCATCCTCTGAATTGGCACCAGGTGCCTAGAAATCAGTGCCGATAGATGGCGTCAATTAGCTCTTGGCCCTTGGAGATGGCTAAAATTCTAGAATCTGAGTGAGCCCAAATTCCCTCTCTTCCTGCAACATACAGTGGGGCCTTGACTTACGAGTGTCCCGACTAACGAGTTTTTTGAGATACCAGCTGTCTCTCGGCCGATTTTTTGCATTGAGTTGAATAATAATAAATCTGATCTCATTCACCAATTTCCCTTCCCAGAAGCAAGCACAGTTAGTTACCAATTTCCTGTCTGCACGGTAGAGAGTCTCTGCATTTATCAGCAAATACGTATGAGGGAACACCCTTCAAATTACAAAGAAAAAAGAGTCATGGGGTATAGCTGAGGCAGACATCCAAGGCTGATTTCATCTCAGTTTCGAGCTGAGTAGAGAAAAAACTGCCAGGGTCAGGGTGCTGGAGGCGGCAAAACGCACACACAGAGGCCGCCACAGGCCTGTGTACATGGCGAGGTGTTATTGTTGCTCATGTGATGGGTCAAGATAAGGCCGCGAGGACCGCCCAGCCCCCTCTGGTCTGGGTGCAGTTAATGATAGTTTGTCACCTTCTTATTCTTACCCTCCCACCCCCAGGTGGGGCAGGGCAAAGACTGGGATGCTTCCCATCCTCTGAATTGGCACCAGGTGCCTAGAAATCAGTGCCGATGGATGGCGTCAATTAGCTCTTGGCCCTTGGAGATGGCTAAAATTCTAGAATCTGAGTGAGCCCAAATTCCCTCTCTTCCTGCAACATACAGTGGGGCCTTGACTTACGAGTGTCCCGACTAACGAGTTTTTTGAGATGCCAGCTGTCTCTCGGCCGATTTTTTGCATTGAGTTGATAGAGTAATCAAGGCCTCACTGTAATTAGGGACCCAGGGGGAATTCCCTCTGCCCTGGCTGGGCTTAGTGTTTTAGCCTGGAGAATGGGTCAGCATGACCTCACATATAAGAAAATCTCTCCCTCCTTTAGCTTTCCCTCAGCCACCCACCCACCTGCAGCAGAGGGCGCCACTGTTCTTAGTTTTTTGTGTGCGCCACCCCCCACCCCCAATCATTCAACCAACAATATTTGGGGGGAAGGGGAAGGAATTATTTTTTGAGCTCTTACCATGTGTCAGGCACTATTTATAGACGCAGGGGTTAGAGAAGTGAACAAATAGACAAAAATCCCAGTCCTGGTAGAACGGACATTCTAGAAGCTGATATAAGAAGGTTTCTTATAGATGAATATTTAATGTGTGGATATAAATATGTATGAATTTTGCCCTACTGAAACCCAAATGTGGCCTCCTGCTCTTTTGTACCTTGGTTTGAGGGTTGGCTGGTTTTTCCCAGTGACCCTGGAAATGGTTCTGTAAGTGCATGACACCCTTGCTCATTCTCTTCTCCTGTCCCTGCATTTATTTCCACGTCCCCAATTAATGGGTATTGAGGTTGTTTCCCATTTTTTGGCAGTTGAGCCAGTGATGCGATGAACAGCATTCCATGTCTCAAATCTGTGGGATAACATGCCAAACGTGGAAGGGCTGAGTCGAAAGCCTCTTTCTTTCAAAAACTTTTTTTTTCAACTCATTACAAAAAGGCCTCATTCTGTGGGATAACATGCCAAACGTGGAAGGGCTGAGTCAAAAGCCTCTTTCTTTCAAAAACTTTTTTTTCCAACTCATTACAAAAAGGCCTCATACTTATATCATCAGTCAATAGAGACCTGTGTAACATGAAAGGGAACGCCGGCCCCCTCCCCCAGCCCCTCTTCCTCCCCCCCCTCTCCACCACTCAAGCCTGCTCTGCAGCAGTAACAGCGCTTAGTGGATTCTTTCACTTTTTCTTTCGCTTTTCTACAACGCAGGCAGGCACCACTGCGTCCTTCCACGTTTTTCCGCATCTTTCCCTACAAGTTCACCTGCAACCCTCCACATTTACACTAATGCTTTTCTTCTTTCTCTCTTTTATTCTCCCACATGCGGGGTTACACTAGAGGCATCGGTGTGCCCGGGTTGTTCCTCGCCAAGTCCTGCGCATCCCTCCAATCCTGTGCAGGCGATTCTGCCTCCTCTTCTTCGTGGTTCCGGAACATTTCCAGGAACAGCAGACAGAACAGACTCAGCCAGCCTTGGCTGCTGGGCACTTGGGCTATTTCGTTTTACTGTCACCACAAATCCCCGGACAGCATCTGTTCCTGGACGGTCCTTCCTGAGAGGGGACTGCCGGGCCAAAGCCAGCAGATTGGGATTTGATCGGGGGCTACTGGTTGCTGGCATGTTCCTCCCAGCCCCACCTCTTCCCTCTGCTGGACCCAGCTCTCTCTTACAGGACTGAGTCTCTCTCTCTTCCATCTCTCACTCTGGGCCACGGGCCTCTGAGCTTTGCAACTCTGGCTGGACGCTCTGCCTCTCTGAGCCTCAGCGCGGGTCTGTCCTGCTGAGTCACCCGGGGACCCAGGGGAAAGCGTCCAAGTGTGGCTGCCCCTGGGGAAGGTGGACTCACCCCTG